GCCTGTGCTACGTTGATGACTTATTGGTTGAGGGGAGCTTGTTTCTCGGCTTTACTTTAGACGTGCGAGAACCGTTGCATGAGCGTGAATGTCAAGATGTCAGGCTACGGAGGCCGCGGGGGAGAAGGGTTGTCAGGCTCGGTGAGTCGGGTCTCGCTGCGTAGCCGTTGCATTCATCACATGCCTCTGCAACCTTCCCATCAGATTCAAGGTGACCTTGAAGGCCTTGCTTGACCTGTCTCATTTGGGATCTAATGCAGGTACCCGACTGTTTGTGCGGTCCCTTTTGGGAAACCCTATGGAGAGCTGAAGTACGATTTCACGGCAAGATCGGGATCGTAATTGTGGGTGGACAATGAACTGGTGGGAGCCTTGGGAAGAAAATGTTTTAGAAGAATAAGCAACGAGCGGCTTTACGACCTCGTACGTTGGAAAAAAAAGCAAAACTTTTGCGGTCAATTGCAGGTAGGTGGGTATGCCTGTCTTGATGCATTGACGTTGACGTTTTGTGGAGAGGCGTTGTAGTTCGGTGTGTGAGACAAGGTCGTATGAACGGTCGAGACTCAGGGAGGAGTATTTGGAGATGATACGAGGTGTAGTCTTTTTGTTCCGTGTGATCCATCTCTCGCGATGGACTCTGTTTGTGGGATAAGGTGTGTTTCGGGTGGTGAGAGACACGTCTAGTCTATCGGGATAATGGAGAACAAGACGGATTGATATGCAGCTTTGGACGATTTCGGGATGTCGGCCGAGGATTGGGTGCCGGGTGTCGTTAAAGCTCGCTTGAGAGAGGATTTGATACCTTTTGCGTACATGGTGTTTTGGAATACGGGTCGATCTATCGTGTAGTTGCGGATTGTGGCTTTGCAAGTTCGAAAACTTGTCTCGAGTTTTCCTTGTGAAACATGGGCATTCATGACCAAGAGTTCTGACATACGAGGTAGTATGACATGACATTCACAGGATATCGTGAACGAAATGACACAGGCTACAGTAGAGGTTGTTTACTCGATAGCGTTTTGACGTTTATGTCGGGTGTTGAGGTTCAACGGCTTTGGTGTGCTGCTGCGGCAATGCCAATCGGCAGACTGGAGCGAGAGAAAGGCAGTCTGTGGAAACATTCACAGCTTAGAAGAAAACACACACGTGTTTCTCGGAGGGGGCAGTTTGTCTCGGTCTTGCATCTGGGTATAGATGATGGCGGTGGAAGGAACGCCTCAACTTGGCTGCTGATGAGACTGAATCTCACTGCGGTCAGATGATGAATATGAGTGGTCTCACCTTAGAGTCATAGATTCTCCTCTTGGAATATCTTGAAACCCGTTTGACACTGGGCGAGGTTTTCAACGGTTGACAATATTCGTGTTGCTTGGCTCACGGACTGTCTTCCTTGATACAACATGTAGACGCATATTTCCGGGGCTAGTGGTGGTGATGTTGAATGTCGAGGATTGATTATCAAGTTCACGTCGGATCTGGCTGGCACGACAGCATATCTTCCCAAAGAGGAATTGTGTTTTACAAGAAGTGAAATGGTTGTAGATTTCCGCATGATCTTAGACGAGAGATATCGTCGACTTGTCAGCATAGTATCCTGATCATATTTAAGCCGACGCTTTGAGTTAGATTCTAGACTATAAAGATCAATTAATTTTCGTTGGACCTTTCAGAGCCCCATGACAACTACTCACAGACTGATCGCAAACCTTCAAAAGGTCTACATCTCGGCACCTATCATGTCAAAGCGAGGACGTTGTCACGAATCCTGCCCAACAACTATTACCTTGCGCACGAGAGCATCAGGACACACGTCGTTATGTGCTATACTACCATAAACGCAGCAGACAGAATGATCAGACTCGACAGGAAGGAATTCATGCACTTCGGTAAGCCGGTTTCTCAGTTCAAATGTCCCCGGATAAGAAAGTCACACACATGTTTGCCGCCGCTTTTGAACTTCAAGCTGCCGGGAGGCCGGGCACCAAGATCGTGAGTCTGTAGTTCTCGAGACCAAGTCAGGATCTGCCCTCTCCACGGCCATTGGCGTAAACCATGGAGAAATGCCATGAGAACGGACGTTGAAAACTATATCGAAGACTTGTATTTGCCTGAAACGGAATTACTGGTTTCTATACAACACGAACTTTTACGCCACAATGTGATCAAAAATATTCAAAGTGAGGAACGTTTAGAATCACCGCAATTCAACAACCATGCATATCGTACTTGTTTGATATCGATCACCAGAAGCGAGAGATAAACCTTTGGTTCAGCCGTGTCATCATTTTGTCCATTCATAAACTAGCTCAACTGTTCACGGGCCGAGATCGTTGTCAGCGCACTGGGCGACCATCACGACTATGAATTATTCTGCATGCGCTTGAGGCGCTCTTCGGCGGCCCTGGCTCTCCTCTCTCGGTCGAGTTTCATTCGCATCTCCGGTGTGAGGCCCCTGGCTTCTTCCACTCTCTTCTCTTGTGCCGTCTTCGTGGCCGCTATAGCCGCCAGACCGCCAGACTTTGGCTTCCTGCTATCCGCCTTGGGTCCTTCGACCCGTAACCTCTCTTCCTCTGCACGTCTTCTTGCCGTCTCCTGCTCATCCTTCTCCTTTCTATCTCTCTCGTCACGCTTCTCAGCATCTGCTTTGCTAAGAGGTGCCGGTATGCGTGCGGTCTCCCAATCCCACTTATCCTCGCCGAGCTCTGATCGCGCAACCCGGAAGGCGTCTCTTGTTGACCTGTCACCTGCAAGTTCGAACGCAGTCTTGCCGTCTTTGTTTGTGATCAGGGGAGATGCACCGCCGCGTGTGATGAGGCCTAGAATTAGAGGTGCAGCATTCTGATGAGCAGCCAAGTGGAGGGGTGTTGGTGAGTGGTGATTCTGGTCTGCCGGCTGAAATTGGAAGTCGGGAGACACGTCATTGGTCTTTAGGTAGGACAGTAGGGCTGGAAGTTTCGAGCGCCGGATGAACGCCTGAATCTGTGATGTATGCAATAGCACAGTCTCCTCTTCTTCTGTAAGCTTTGGCTTCGTAGGCTTCGGAGCGGCGCTCTTCGCAGGTGTAGGCGTCTCGGACTTTGGTTTAATCTCGTCTTCCGGGTTAATTTCTCTGACTTTTAGTCTCGTGAGCTCAATGAAAGATCTCATTAACTCGTTCTGTGTCGCCCTTCGTGTGCTGAACGGGAATCCTCGTATCCTCGAGTCGTTGTGTTTCAATATTTGCCCATCGTACGGTCCGAATAGCGTTCTTCGATTCGTCGCCCCCGTTGCTCGAATAAAGAGGAGCTCGGACGTATCGAGTAATCCCTTCCATTCTTGTAGAAGATTGCGTACATCGTCCACCAAAGCTTGTTCGTTGTACCGACGAATGCTGGCACCGGCCGAGTGGGCATTTCCCTTGGAGTTGTCGTTGGCCGACTGCGAACCACCCTGCTTTCGTCTCGTTGTGTATCGATGGAATGTTTTGTGAGCAAGTACGGTTGCTTCGCGATTCATTGCGCCTGCGGAAGACCTGTTTTGTCGTGGCGGCAATGCTACGACCATGGCAGCGAAGTGGCCACCACCAATCATGCACAAGAAGAAGTGAGGACCCTTGTATGCCGCTGGCGGCGGTGCTGCGCCGTCTTTGGAGACTTTCGGCGCGGCTATTGGGTCCAACTGCTTCTTTCTGACGACTTCCACTAGCTTTGTCTCGTCGCGCAGCTCTTCGGGGCTGAGGATAGCCCTGTAGAGGCCAAAGTATGTGTTTGATGGGAGAACTGGTGAGCTGAACCAAATCAGAGGCGGGTTGCCCTTCCCTCTGCGTCGTATCGTGTCTTCTTCTCCGTCATTGTAATCTGCTGTCGGCGATGCGTACTTGTCGGCGAGCGTCGCCTGCTTCTTCAGCAGTGCAGTGAGTGTGGATTCCTTCTCTTCGTCCTCGGACTCTTCCGAGTCTGAGCCCGACAGACTCTCGTCAAGGTCCCCAATCAACTTTTCGAACTCATTTTCGGATACTGGCTTTGCGCTGCGGAGCTTCTGCTTCAAGTTGTAGTGGTGCCAATCGGATTTCTGATGGCTTCGCTGATCGATAACAGTGGGAAAAGTAATTCCGCAAAGGGAGCAGGCTTGTGAGCCGACGAGATCGGAGGAGGACGTATCTTTCGAGGGGGGTGATGGAAGGGCTTGTTCGGGTATGAAGGCGTCGGGCTTCAAGGAGAGTGTAGACAGGACTTCTTGGGGAAGATCATAGACTGCGACTGGGTCAGTTGACGATGGCGGGGTAGTAGTTGCAGAGAAGACAAACCGTAAAGAGGTCTCTTGAGAAGATCTGGCGCATTTTTGGCAGCCATTTTGAACTTAGGACAAGCCCTCGCAGCTATTCCAGGTGTGAATTGTAGAAAGAGGGATTGACAAAACTGTGTTGGCCCTCGTTTTGCGCCGTCGCAATGACTTAAAGCTCGGGATGTCGGGGCACCAACATTCAACTGATGACGAAGAGCTCGCTTTCGGAGATGACTCAGCCGGTGAACATGAACCGACACAAGCCACAGAAGTTCAAACAGGTCGCTGCCGCCACAAAGCCCCGCGATATGTGGCTTGACGGCACCCGGTGGGGACCATCTGATCTGAGGTTACCAGCCACGTGACACAACGGAGAGAAGAACAAATACGTACATCAGGACAAGCTTGGCGGGTTGAACAGGGGCCATGGACGAAGCCAGCTGAAGTGACAGTAGGTTGGCGACCATCACGTCACCAAGCGTGGATTAGCTCCGTGGACCATGAGTTTGCCAACACTCCTTGGCTGAAGTGCTTGTTTGGATTTCTTGGCAAACCGCAGAAGCGACTTGTTGCTGCATTATTTGGACTGTCTTACCTGGGCTTACAGGCTTATCTTGTTCCTCCTCTGCGACCTTGTTGCACATTGAAGTCGAGTATCGGTACTTGTCCCCTCGTCATCGTCTGTCTGAGGTCTCTTTATATGGCGCAACGTGCAAGCCGTGCTGGCAGAAACTTGGCCCGCGTCAGTGCATCCCTGGCCAGCTGATGATGTAACTCCACTTAACGTGTGGGAAGCTGCGAGCTGTATCGCGACTCCCAATCTTATGCCTCCTTGCTGCACCTCGACTAGCCTTTGCCAAGACCAGGTAGGACAGGCAAGATGATGGTGCCCGCCTGCTGGATGCAGCTATGATAGGTGGTAAGGTACTCGTTCTGTTACCTCTGGTCTAAGCCACTATCGTCTCCCGATGGTCTCCCCTCACCTCCCCGCCCTGGTGACGGTTCCCTGTCTCTCTTCCTCGTGCGACCTTAGTCGAACTACAAGTAGCCAAGCTATCCCATTCTTAATCCCACTTTGACCTGACTTTATCTCTCCAACTTGAACCGAGCCCCCAAGATCTACCGTCCTAATACACGATTGAACACCACTACATCTATTCTACCAAGTCAAAACAACCCATCTTTCATCATGGACTTCGTCAAGAACCTTGCGGGAGGCAACAACAACAACAACGCGGCCTCTTCCGCTGACCAACCTGAGAAGAAGGAGTCCGGCGGCTTCATGGACAAGCTCAACGGCATGGCTGGCGGTGGCCGCGAGAGCGAGAAGCAGGAAGACGGCCTTGACAAGGGTGCGTAACTACCCTCCATGTCTGTAACACACGATCACAAGACTAACACCAACCTTAGCTGTCGACTTCGTCCAAGAAAAGGTCCTCGGTCAAGGTCCTCAAGATAACGAGAGCGCTGCTGAGCAGGCCAAAGACGAGCAAATCAGTGATTTCATCCGCGGCCAGTACAAGAACACTACTGGCAAGGAATTCCCCGTCGAGGACAAGGACAAGAAGTACGGCCTGTAAATCAATGGATCCGTCAGTCGAGCACCTCATAGAAGAGGAATGCTGCGTTGCGCCCGAGTTCACAAATAAGGCGACCTGAAAATGGCGGCTAGACAGCCTGGACTTGTGGAGTAGCGGTACTCAGCACGAAACATTTGGAAGAGGACCCTGGAATGGGACTTTGGGAATTGTACCTACCTAGTAATGCTACGAAATCACGACGTTAACGATTACAATCTATGGGCTCTGTGTTGTGATACAATTCACCTTTTTCGATTTCGATGCCTGAGATACTACTTGACGACAAGCGAGACTTCGACCGGCTTGCCGTTGGCCTGCCTCGAGTGAAGTTGGAATGCAGTAGTAGATGAGGCGCAAGAGGTCCCTGTCTGCTGTGAAGCTTGTAGATTCGGAGAAGGATGACCACGGATACCTCGCCTACTCGGAACAAAGCTTTCGAACAAGCACTTGAAGACACTGTCTAACAAAGGTGGGGGTTACAATGCCAAATACCTACGTTCTTCGATATGACCCTTTGTAGTGGCTCTGCTGTTCCCCGTGGAACAATGGCACCGTCCAACTGTCACAAAGCCGACCTTCCACTGTCAATGCTCTGAGATGGGGCACCCTCGGTGCCAGACCACGAACATATGATGAGTCTCATCTTGCAAGAGATGCCTTAACAGCATTGCCTGTGCTGTATTTCTACGTCGCCTCTAACCCGCCATATCCAATCTGACAGTCCCTTTAACAAAAACGAAGACGACGAAGTTCACGATAGACCAACTTCAAGGCAGGCCCTTTCCGAAATTATTAGCATTTCAACATGTGCTTCACACAGAAGACTATCCACACAGTATGTGCCCATTCCGCGGTAGAACTGATCGAGTGCAGAAAGTTCATTGAGAACAAGGACAAGACTGACCGCAATGCTTGCATCACACCTCTCTGCCAGCACACCCAGGCCCTGGCCACTGTCCTCGGCTTCTGCCAAAACTGCGAGGCGTTCTATAGAGACAGTGACGTTTCCTCCGTCAGCGCTTCGGAACTGCTCGAAAACTACTGGCAGTTCAAGGCTGTAAAGAAATGGAACCACCCCGTCGAACCTGTCATGATCCCCTCTTCGGCCCTTGCAGAAACGAGCATGGAGCTCTCCTCATCATGGTGCACCTTTGCGCGAAATGAAAGGGAAGTCAGCAAAGATATGGTGATGGCTGCTTCCGTGCAGTCACTCATCCATGCTCTTGGCGAGCCCATCACACACCCCTCTTGCGATCTGTGCCGAAGGAAACATCGTACAGATGTCTGTCGGATGGCAGTCGGTGGACAGATGGCGACTGTTAGTTGGGCCTCATGTCTCGCTCATGCCGAGGACATCTTCAAGACGTACGAATTCTCGCATCAGTTGAGCCATACTAGCAACGCGGAAGACGTGAACCGAGGTGATTATGAAAACGAGTCGGCCTTGTCCTCAGAAACGGTTCAGACACCACGGCCAGTCGCTTTTATCTCACCAGCGCTTCCTGTTCAGAGCCCTCCTTTGCGTCGCCTGAATATCCACGAGCGCCGCGAGATTGAATTCCAGGAACGGCAAAAACTGTTTGCAGAGCTCGCAGCCAACCATGAGAAGGATATCCAAAGGCTCAGGGAACAAGCACAGCTTGAGATGAGAGCAGAAGAGGAGTTCAGAAAAGCCATAGCAGCCTCTAGTGATGCTACTGGTGTTACCGCGTCTTCTAGCTCGGTAACTTCAGATCATTTATCTCATTCACCGCCTTCTTCGGCAGACATCGCGAGTGCCTTTCCGAGCTTTAGTGGTGTTCATTGCCCGTTGATTGACAATGACGAACATGGCAAGGATCACGCTTCACTACGCACTCTTGCCTACGATGAATCTGCTTTTGAAGCTCTGACAGGCGGTATCCATGAAATACAGGATGTACTGGAATTACGCCAAGCCGCGGTAGTGAAGCCGGAGAGTAGCGAGGCCTTGCACTCATGCTATGGCGAAATAGGTGATATTGAAGAAGAAACCTCGGGCGATCCGGCAAACTACCATCCTACAGACGAACGAAGCGACACAATTGATGACCACATTGATCTCTACCTCAAGAATTTTACTGGTGACGACGACTCAGCCAGCAACGTGAGATTGCCAGACATTCCCCCACTTTCTCCTTTTACCATTGCCGGCCTCAATGCACCAATCGAGAAAGCAGTAAAACGTTCTAAACCTCGCCCTAGCCCTGTCATGCTGATGAAAGTAACTAGATTTTCGCAGCCAAACCGCTCCCCTGAGGACAATGGACCGGGACAAGAGAACGACAAGGGTAAGAACATCGCCGGCCCCAGTCATCCGGAATCGTTGACCTCAGCCCCACTCTCGGGACCAGAGATCCGTCAGAGAGCGCCGCCGCGCCGGCCACGCGGACCCATGTATTGCCCAGAGCACGCCGGTAAAAGAGACCCAAAGTGTCACGGATGTCAGGCCGGTTGCTGGGTTGAGATCGGCTTGCCGCCCGGTGAACGTTTTGAGGAAGTAGAGCCAAAGCTGATTTAAAATAAAGGAAGCACCACGGGGTACGGACGCAGGTAAGTTGTCTACATTAATGTAAGTGCGCACGCAGACAGCTGAGAAGAACGTTTGAATGAAGAATCCGAAATACTTCAGTGCTTTGGTGAAGTGACTTGAACTAGGATGAATCTTGCGATGTGCTTTACTTGTGCTTCGGCTGATACGGCATGAAGCACTGCATGCCTGTGGACCATGTACGCATCCAAGCACGCCAGAAAGGCACCCAGATCTCGCTATCCGACTCTGAATGCTTCATGGATGGGAATCAACTCCATTCCTTCCAGAAGTCGCAGAGCCAAAGGTATTGCCGACGTTCTATCACAAGTTGCTGCTGAGTCACGACTTAGGGTTTACGACGTCAGAGCCAGAGCGGGGACTAAATCTAAAGCCCGAGGGGACTTACAACCTCATTCTTCTTTCGTTCAGACAACTTTACGAATCCCAGGGTCTTGCAACACTATTGAGATCCTCCAGTTACATGCCTTCAGTATAAACTACGCCTGAAGGTTACGATAACAATGGACGAACTTGGACAAGATCACCGAGACGAACTCGGGAATCATTCACACAAGGGGACGCGTGCAAATCAACGCAGGAATAGGAACGCGCCGGTTCCAGACAGCACTAGCCAGCACCGCACAGCTTGCTTTACGTGCCGCGCAGCTAGACAGAAGTGCGACCGGCAGACTCCTTGGTGAGCCCTCTCTCCACGCCCAAACCCATGAGGGAAGTAATCCAAGACTAACGTCGCTTGCAGCTCAAGATGCGCCATTCAGGGGCACACTTGCCGCTACCCGCTCAAATCCAATCGAGGTAGGAAGGAAGGAAGCACAAAGTGAGTGAGACTGCTAGGTAGCCTTTCAATGGTCTCATGAAGAGGCTGACGGAAGCATAGCAAGCCAGACACCGTTCAAAAGCTGTTGGACCGCATCAACGAGAGTCCTGTTCGGGACCAAGTCATCGCAGCTATAATTAACTCATCTCAAGCTCAGACACACCCTGAATCGTCAGCCCTAGACTCCTTCTCAAGTTTAAGAGACAGCGTGCCAGCTCGTTTAGATGCGCCAGGGACAGAGGAAATCGCTGTTTCTGCTCTTGTCGAGCAAAGTGAAGAGTCAGAATGTGATGGGCCGCCGGACTCGACTCATTCCCCGTGTCCGTGTTCAAAGTTGAAAAAGGAGAGTTCCGTTGTTTCTCCCCTTCATATCATGGCAGCTGCTTTCACGAAGAATGATACGAGTTTTGCAAACCAGAATGTCGACACAGCCGTGCCACATCTGCCACTCGACGCAATAGGGCGAAGAGGCAACGAGAACTCAATAAACAAACGGCTGATAGAGTACTTCAGTAAGCCGACATCGGCTCGAACATTTTGTTCTTACAGTCTGTCGTATACTGACCCATTATTGTCTAGCACCTCGTCTGACGCATGATACGGATTGGCAAGTCCTGGCGTCTCAGTCGATCAACAGCACACTGAAGTTGGAGACCACCGCTTGCGACCCTGTAACTGCGCGCCTGGCGGATCAAAACGATGTCTCATTGTACTTTCAGCTGTGCGTATGACAGAACCCGTCTTGATGATTTACTTACCGAGAAACCTCACTTCTAGGTTCTTCCAGACGCGCAATCCGCATATAGGGCTTCTAGACCCAGATCTACATACCCCCAAATACGTCCGTCACACATCTTTTACCCTCTTTTCTGTCATTTGCGCTCTGGGATGTGCTATTTCGACACGTCCACGGGATCGAATTCTGTACCCAACTCTACTCTCTCTGGCAGAAGCGAATCTCGCGTGGTCTATCGCGGTGCCAGTGAGATCACTAGAGACGATTCAAGCAATCTTAGCAATGAAGTATTGGGCACCGATGTACCAGAGACAGGGAGACGATCCCCATTGGCTCCATATTAGTCATGTGAGATCACGAAGAACGAATCCCAAGTAGACCATCATGTGCTAACCTCATCGCTCTTATTTCGCAGGCTGTACAACTTGCCAAGGAACTCGGAATAAACAAGCCTACCACTATCGCTGAACTTGTCAAAGCTTTGGCCCCCGACGACACTATTGAAATGAGAGAGCGATTCTCGCGCAATCTTGAAAGAACCTGGCTATACGTGTTCATAGCTGACAAGAGCTTCGGTATCGTCATGGGCCGCTCCCCGATTGTGGCTTGGAAAGAGCTCCCGCCTTGTCCATGTCAGTGGTGGCGGAAGTCGATGGCAACATCTCTTGATCGTATGATTAGTGGTATCATTGAGATTAGGGTTCAGTTGGTGAGTAGAATATCTCTTGCTCTTGCTATCTCTCCTATCTCTCGCTTTCATCCAATGTCTGTCAACACACCATGTCGCAGCGCTGATAGCTAAGGTGAACAGCTGGAGTCCTTAAAGCAGTTGGAGCGTATGAAGAAGACTGATGCGTCCATCTCGAATTGGCATGCAAAGAACTACGATGTTCTTGATCGAACGTGCAAGATCAGGTGCTACGAAGATGACGAGTCGTCTACACCCATGTTGCCTATCCTAGCTTTCTACATGAAACACAGTCTCATGATTCTCAACGCGCAGGCGGCAAGGGAGTTAAAGAGACTCGGGGGAGCAACAGCCTCGACTATTGCCTCGGTCGATAGCAAAGCGTTTGAAACCGCACTTCAACTTCTAGATCTGGTATTACATGATCAAACGGTCAACGACATTGGATTGGGGTGGCACAACAATCAGTTTGTAATGGTTGCCCACGCCATGACTGAGATTGCCCAAGTTAGTGGTATAACACCATTGTATACTATCCTTGTAGCACTGACTTATATCTCTAGGCTTTGAGTCGAGGAAATCTATCTTCTGTAGATCATGGAGCGGCGGCGTCCCAGATCCGGGCCATCTCTACATGGCTTGAAGAGAAAGCGCAGGCGCTCCCAGCTACATCTATAGCCAGTCTCTACTCCGGTTTCTCTCAAATACTGGTGTCCGGACTAGATGGAGAGACCAGCAACGATACGCATAGGAGGCAAGATCACACTTCTTACGAGACTCCAGACAGTTTCATGACCGACTGGTCACGGGCTGTTGACGTCACCTCTCTGAACCCAATGGATTGGCTTGATATGAGTTTTCTAGGCAACGAAGACTTGTTTGTTGGCCTCGAGAATGTGGACTTCAACGACCACGACGACAATGGTGCTCTCCGGTTCCCATGAGTCTTTCACCTGAAAGAAGTTCGGAGAAGGTGAGCTCAGCCATCAACGCCGAAGGACTGGGATGTTTGTGGATACTGGCACCCACAAATGTCAGACCTCGAGAAACCGTAGCGGTTTCTCGAGGCTCTCGACGAAGGTGGCAGGGAAGCCGTAATCACCATCACCATCGATGGCATTCGTTGTGCTCTTCACATATGAGTAGTCTCGCAACCTAATCCTGTCACATACGACCATACCCATTGGAAAACTCGGGATCCCATCCGCTCTCCCATAGATAAGCCAATGAGGGCCGGATTAGTAGTTGGGTCGGTGACGACCAGCGAATACCTGGTGTTGTATGTTTTTGATTTTGTTTTGGGTGAATGTGTCGTAGTGGCTTTATCGTGGAAGTGGTGATACGATATAAAACTTAAGGAATTAGCAACTCTTACCTAGATAATTAATTAACCTTTTTAAAAAGAAAAGAAAAACCCCCCCGCCGGGCTTATAATCTCAAAGGGACCGTGAGTACCTTATCTTACTTAAAGAGAAGTATAGAAAGGTCTCGGAACGTTTTGCTAATAATACTAGGGTGACTATAACTAATGTCTCTATTGCTACTACTGTTTCCCCTTCTGTCGCTGTCGTGCTTGGTCCGATCTCCTCGAAGTATGCATCACCGAATACGCCAGGCTCTTGGGATGAATAAAAACACCAGCAGACAACGGTTGGCAATACAAGTACGCACTGTGTTTAGCCATCTTGTCAGCGACATCTTGGTCAACCCCGAGCTTTTCGACGATGCTACGCATGGGCAGGGGAAGAGTATCCGCAAAGTGCGCGAACTCAAAAACATCATGACGGGAGACCCTGTGAAGAGTTTTGACCATGAATGAGACTGGGATCTAGAACGAACGCGAGCCAGGCTGGTACAGCGGCAGCCTCAGACACGGCCACCCCGAGTGTGACAGAAGACCAACCTCAATGGTCTCGAGATGAGAAAACTCAAATCGGATTGATAGCCCAATGGCTCACCTTACATGGCGACCCGCACGCAGCGTCCAGGTCGGAAGTCTCTTATTCCAACCACACAAGCACTATCACAACAAATCTGAAGTGTTTACTGATATTCCACATATCTGGACATGATGGGATCAGTTATCATTCCACAATAAGCGTATACGCCCCTACCGGAAGATTCATCTTCTTACCTCGACCTCTTCGTCGCCGAAATAACCAAAATCTTGGTCTCTCACACCATGTCTTCTTCACCAGTCGACAAGAAGCAATGGGATTCAAGATGGGATAACCTGCCCAGAGAAATTCGACTTCTTATCTTACAAGAAGTGATGCAGGATGATTGCCCACTAGCTCCCCTGGTCACGGTGTCTCGAGAATGGCAAACAGATATCGAGCGACACAACTTTGCTCGAATTAGACTCACTCCGTCACGCCTCGCCAATTTTCGTGCCATAATTCAAAGAACCCGATTTCTCGTCGGCTACATCTGGTTCTGCCTGGAACTCGACGAGTACGACTGCACCACGTGCACCCTTTCACCTGGAAGAACGAATTCGGATGAGTTTGAAGAGGCATTTGCGATCAGTGGCACAGATAAATGTCCCATCACCGCGTCATTCCAGAACCTTTTCTCGATTCTCAGCGAATGGGAACCTCACGGCGACTTGACACTCGATATTAGTATATACTCGCTCAGCGACTCGAAACATTGGTTTCCATATCTGACCTTTTTCCCCGATACTCCTTCGGATGTACCAGATAATCATACTATCAAGAAGGCGATGGCAAATCAAGACTATCACGACCCTGAACATGGCTGGTTACATGGCTCTCGACACCTCGCCTCGCCCCCATGGGGCCTTAGGAAACTATTCCATCTGATTATGGAGCAGGGGCCTTTTGACAGTGACGACGAAGAGCTCGAGTGGTGGGACAAGCTCCCATTAGCCCCAGCCGTGACCAGTCTACTTCTCCGACAACAGAGCCGCCGGAGATGGAAACCAGAGTCACTGGCACACATGTTTTCCCGGCTTCCCAGACTCCAGGAAGTCCACTACGAACCGTGGAGGGAATGGAATAATCCGACGCAGAAATCGACAGACAAAGGTTAGTTATTACTGCACAAATCTCCCTGATGGACTCTTGACGTTATTGCTCGCTTTGATTTGCGAAGTTGAGTGACCATGTGTTGATAATTACCGATTTCCGCGTGCTTCAGATTACCAAATTCTTTTGGACCCTATCCGACGTTCCAACCATAGCCTCAAACGACTCGTCATCTTCGAGAACTTCAACCAACAGTATCCAGCCAATATGCGAAGACGCGAACTTCTCGAGGGAGAATATGTCGGAACACACGCCCTGCGCAAGCCTATCCGAGATATCGGCCAGATGATCGCGCTCACCAGCCTCAGCCTCGAACATCTTGCAGCATCCTACATCGCCGACGCCAGCCACTTCTTCGAGGCCCGTCTCGACTTTGCGTGGCCGACCCTGAAATCGCTTGCTCTCACTGCAAAAATACTCGCTCCTCATGAAGACTCAACCGGGATTGAAGCCCTACTACTGGCAGCGGCGGCAGCCGCTAAGAATATGCCCCAGTTAGAAACGATGGAGATTTTGAACGGGCGAAAGGGTTTGGCAGGGCTACTCAGGTACCAAGCTTTCCGTCCCAAGCGGGAAGCTGTCCTTCTTTGGAGAGGCACGTGGAACTTGGCCATGGACTCATCCGTAATCCACGCCTGGGAAGCTGTAACGCATCAGTATGATATCTTGAGGCTCAGGGTAGCTGAGGAGAAGCTAGATGAAGTTGATATCAAGTCTCACGGGGATGCAATCCAGCACTTGAGGCTTTCGAGCCGGGTCATTCGGTACGTCTCGTTGCAGCAAATACAGATAGAACAGAAAGCCTTGAAAGGCGTAGCCACAGTTGAGTAAGAGCTAAAATATGAGTTCCAAAAGAAATACCTTGCCGTACAACAGTGGCGAATGATGGGAGGCAACGAAACTTGAGTTGAGGAGAAGAAAGCTAGGTTCAATCTCAAACGAAACAGCTGATGCACAGTAACGTACAGACTGCCTCATTTGGATTTCAAACAGGAAGAGAATCAAGAGTGATACTATGACGTTGATGTTCTTTTTAGCTCGCACTGCCCTGTGAATCCCCAGCACCATTAACGCTTCGAAAGCGCGAGGCCGCCGTCATCCCGTCATCATCCAGACCAACAAGTGTCTACCATAACCTCGAATCAGTACACTCTAATTATCAAGTCATCTATCCAAAGTCTTCAGTGCAGTCCCTCCATCTCACAAACATCTTGAATCCTCAAAAGCGACAAACAAAGGCAAGAGCGATTTTCAGGACTGCGACTTGGCTCAAGGATCGGATAGCCTCAAGCCACAAGAAGATGTTTCCATCGAGCATAAGAGACCGAATTGGAAATGATAGACAACTTCGTATAAGTATGTGTTCGAGTTATTCCATCTCATCAGATGACATGGAATGTAGTAGCCCAATCGCGACAACGATGATATTAAAATATTCATCTACTTTACTTCGCGACCCCTCCATAGATCGTTCTATGGGACCAGGAACTTCTCTGGGCATATCCAATACTTCAACACAAGCGAGATTGCCTGAGAATCGACGAGCCGCGCTGCGAGCAAGGATCACAGAAACTCCCCAACTTGTCTCTTTCCAACGTCATCCCATTCTCAAGCCAACTACTATCATTTGCCGCAATTCGACTCTGTCTCTGCAAACTTCAAGGTACAGGAGAGACACAACCACCAATCTCATAATGCTATCTGTATCGGCTACAAAAATAAAATCCACGCTTCACCGTCCAATTCCAAAAAATCAAAAAAAAATCGCAAAACCTCAAGAGAATACTCGAACCCTCGCAGTCGCCAAGGCTGGAGATCTAACCCAGATCAGCGATAGTCATGTGATACAGGTAACCGCACCACAGTACTCAATTTCGATCTACAGCTGTGCTGTAAAGATTTGGATTAGGGTTTGGGCAACCACACATGTGATGCGACATCACCTTCAGCGAAAACACATCATGATCTACGTGAGATCCCGATTCACGCTCACGGCCCATGGACTCCGACTCGTCACCGCCTCGAAACCTTGCGGGATCGACTTCTGAACAATTCGATCAAAGCTCGACGGGGAGTCTCCGCCTCTCAGAGTGGACCGACGGGAACGCTCCCAGGCTGTAGGAGCTTCTTGACGTCATGTCCCGATACTAAGTCTTGACATATCGTGGAATGTTTCGCAAGTGGTGCTAGGCAAGGTTAACGTGGCGACATTCACCAGAACCGAAACTCGTTGATTGATGAAAGGGTCACATTCTGAAAATCAACATGTGAGCCGCGCGGTGTCAGAGCTGCCAAAAGGGCTCGAGCCAAGCCCGACAAGTCAGATCTGTGGGCGGGAACGAGCCTTGTAAAGTTGTAGACAAGTAGATCGCCGTTGCCATGCTCGCGTTCCACTCGTGCGAGGAGGCACTAGACCCGACCACTCCGACTACAAACTAGGCAGAAACCCTGGGAAAAACAGAGGCAGAAACACTTGTTGATCTGTTTTGATGCTTGCTTTTTGCCACCGGGCAATCCGCATCTACAGTTTTCGTGGTCTGCGATTGATCAAGTGAGGGAATACCCGAGCCTGGAAAGAGATCAGCAAAGCACGGGCGATCGTTACCCCTGAGGCTCCATAACATTCAATCGTTGTCGTGCTGTTCCTCTTTTGAGGAGAAGGGAGGGGGGATCATCTTGGAGTCTCCGGACTGCCCAAAGCACATGACTCCCTCTGGCCCACAACACGAGCAGCATGAACTTGGGCCCCTTCCCAGGCTGCAGTATCTGTGAATCGCGACCCATTCAGGAGATGCGAATTTCAGCGAGTGAAAGAGAACAAGATAACAACACCGTATCGAAAGGTTCTTGACGCCTCGCGCATGTTCGCTGAGATGGGCCTAGAGCCTAGATCA